ACTGCAGAGAGGGCTCTGGGACCAGGGATGAGAAGCATAGAACCACGGGGCAACAGTTCTAGCCCTGGGTGGTAGGAGATAGGATGGTGAAATGGGCCAGGTACTGGGAGCCCAGAGCAGGTGCTGGAGGCCAGGGAGCCCGGAAGGGGGAGGGGAAGTCTGGGTAGACTTCATGGAGAAGGCAGATCTGCAGGAGAGGTGACCGGAAGGGCCTTCCAGGCAGGGGGCAGCATGATAAAAAGAGCAGAGGCCTTGGAGGAAGGAAGCTGTGCTGAAGAGAGAGGGGAGAGGGCTTGAGTTTGAGAGTGAATTCAAGGGTCTGGCTGGGAAGGGCTTGGGGGCTTTCTGGTAGACCTGTATCTATAGGCAGTACTGATACAGTACACAATAATAACAATAATACAAATTCTAATCATCATTATCAGCATTACTAATGCTTATTGGGGGCTTTCTCTGTTTCCACTGTCCTCTCCACCCCTAATCTCCCAATCTTTCACGTTCTGCCTCCCGGAGAGAAGACCACCCAGCCAATTCTCCGGAGGTCGGGGGCGATGTGTATTTTGGGAGAAAACTTCAAACGGTGGGGGAGAAGGTGACAAGTCACCTAACATCGATTGGCTGATGGTGGGCATCAGTAGGAATCAGCGATTGGGAGCTGCCTCACCCAGAGCTGAGCCCTGGGGCCTAGCCAAGGTGGCCTGTCTTCCAGCCCCACCCCACCCCAAGCTTTGACAATTCTGGAAAAGAGGAATCAGAACCAAGCACTGCCCTGTGTGGAGGCACTGAAGGTGGGAAGTGTCGTGCTGGGTGTCTGGCTCCAGAAAGCACGGGGGTTTCCCTCTGAGCACCCTGGGAGGCTGGGTTTCAGGCTCCATCAGCAGCCTGGAGGGGGTCTCTGGCTGGCGGGGAAGGGTGCGGGCCTCGGAGTGGCTTTGCTGCCCTGCAACTCCTCCAGGTGGACACTGGGGATGTTTCAGCCAAAACACTGGGCAGGGGAGAAACATGTAAGAGAGAATGGACTCCTTCTAAAAATGATCCAGGAAGCAAGTTTGGAGTCTGGATTATTTTTTTCTCCTCCCTCCTCTCTACATCTGTGCTTTATCCTGACTAAAACAGGGGTGGGCCATGTGAGCAGAAGTGCCCCTCACAGAGGCTGGGGGCTCAGGAAGACCAGGAGGGAATGGCTGTAATGAGTGACGTGAGGAGGGTGCAGGCTGCAGAGAGAGTCAAGAGGGCAAGACCAGCGGGGCATAGCCACTTCTCCTCCTGGCCACCCACCTTGTATGGCAGGTGCAGTGGAGGCCCCTGCTCCAGACACGCCAGGCCTGCGCATGCTCTGCTCCTCTCTTTGGCCTTGGTGCCCCTCCTCCTTCTGGTAGAAACCCCTTCCTCCCATCCCTCCAGCCCTGTGTCCTGCTGGTGCCATCTTCTTCGTCCCCACTCCAGTCCTCACCTAGGCATAGACACTCTCATTCCCAGAACCTCTCTCCTATCAGACCAGAGGTAATAAAAAGGCCCAGCAGCCCACATTAAATTCAAATTGTATGTAAGTATGAGGGAGCTGACTCAGGTTGGAAGGTGACCATGTGATAATGCTATACTTTGTAGACATTGGATTAAACATTTATCAATTTCAACTTCAGGGTTTTCCTTTTTTATTCTGATGCCAAATAAATTGTTTTCCTGGCCTTAAGCATTTCCCTAGGTCCTTAAGAGCCCCAAGGTCCTGGCACGGTGCCCAGAACACAGCTTCTGCTGGAGGAATGCTTCCTCCCGCTGCTCCCTGCCTCCATCAGGCAGAGCAGGGGCATCTGGGCCCTGCCCAGCACCACCTTCTAGGGGCTGACAATCTCTGTCTGTAAGATCCCAGAGCAGATGGCCCCTGAGGCTGAGTACCACCTCACAACATCCCTCTATGCCACACCGTCAGGCAAATACAGAGAAAAATTAGCTACTGTTCTACTGTGCCTTAAAGACAGATAAACTTGAGTCATTTGTAGGAAAATGGATGCACCTTGAGACTATAATGTTAAGTGAAATAAATCAAACACATGAGCTTGAATATTGCATGGTTTCTCTCACATGAGAAGCCCAAAGTATAAATAAGAGCAAACTAAAAGGTAGATGATAGGAGGAGGAGAAGGGGATCAAGAAATGAAAGGAGCGGGGAGGGAGGGAGAGAAAGGAGATGAAGAGAATTAAGATGTGTTCTGCACCTGTATCAACTCCCCACGATCAGTGTAGTCATGTGCTGGGAACCTGTACTAATAAAACAATTAACTACTGGTTTGTGAAAAATTAAAGCAAGGGAGGAAGAGATGGAAGGAGGGAGGGAGAAAGAAAAAAAGGAGGAGGAGGAAGAGGAGGAAGAGAAGGAGGAGAAGGATAGAGGAGCTATCTGTAGAGCCAGTTTGTGGGGAAGAGCAGACTGGGCTGCCTATGTTGATTTGGGGGGGTGTCTCCCCTGGATCTCAGGGACCCTCTTCTGGGGACCAAGCTTTGTTTTCCTGGGAGCTGCTGGTTAGTGGAATACACCGTGGCCCCCAAAGGAGCCAGGCTGCGAGGTGGGCTCTGGCCTGGTGGTCTTGGGCAGGTCCCCTCGATCCATCACTGTGAGGCCAAGACCCCTCGGCTGGCAAGTGGGCAGTGCAGGCTCAGCTTGCTCTTGGAAACCTTCTCCCAGCGGGCATTCCTCTGTCCTCTCTCCCAGCCACTCTGCAAGGCCAGGACACTTTAGCAGTGGCTGGCTGGTTGGGCCTGGGTGTGGATGACTCCCATCCCCCAGATGCTAAGGTCCACCCTTCCTGGGTTGGCACCACCCCCTTCCCACCCCCACCCCCATTTTATACCCCTCCCTACCCCAGCCCCACTCCAGCCAGGCTCTTCATGCCCTTCAAGCACAGCAAATACAAGCCCACCCCTGGGCCTTTGCACTAGCTGCTACCTGTGCCTAGAAGGCTCTTCTCCAAACATTCCTGTACATCACTCCTGGCTTCTCCATATCCCTGATCACATGTCACTCTCTCAAAAACATTTTCCTTGACTACCCTCTTCCCTAAAGGAGCCCCCTTCCTGCATCTAGGAGACCCTCAGAGTGACTGCTGGAGATTTGGCGAAGAAGCCTTAGATCAGCACAGTTTCATGGGAAGGAAAAAGAGGAGGAGGGTCTTCCTCTAATCATCTGTGGCCTTACTGACCATGGTGCCATTCACTGCCGGCAGGAAGTTACCACCTTCCCCTTTCACAGATGAGAAAGGGGAGGATCCAAGGATCCCCTAAGCAACTCAGGGCAAGGGTGGCAGAGCGGGGTCTCCTGTGCTTCCCCCTGTGGTCAGGAGGCTGGCACCACCCTCCCTGCAAGGGCTCCTCCCTGCCTGCTGGAGGGAGTTGGCCCCACCACTGCCCTGAGCCTGCTGCTTTCCTGATCTAATTAGCTTTGCTGAGAATTCACAGGCAGCCCGCTCTGCTCCCCTGGGAGCAGCCCAGAACTAATGCGCTCAAATGTGAAATGGCTCCTGCCCTTGGGGCCGAGTCACAGAGCACAAGCCAGAAATGCGAGTTGTAATTACCAGCTCTGATTAAGCAGTGTGAGTTATAAAAAATAAAGTAAATAAAATAGAAACAAGCCCATCCCCCTGCAACAAAGCAGCCAGCAGCCCTCTCGGCTGTTCTGTCCCCTTTGCAGGGAGCATGGGCTGCTCAGGTTTACTCTTTCTCCACTCGTAGGGTTCCACCTATTCGCTAGGTCCTTGCCGAGCACCTGTTACATGACAGGTGTGCGCCAGGATGAGGGTGAGACAGGAACACAGTGAACAAAGTACCTGCTCCGCAGTGGCTCAGAGTCAAGAATGGAACATGGCGCTTCAAGGAAAAGTCACATAGGCAAATAAATCTCAGGATGGGGCCACAGACGCCGTGCACAGGAAACCTGGCGGGAGGAAAATGAGGGGAACTGCCTCAAAAAGAGCACCTAGGACCTGACACTGGGTTAGCCCTAAAGAAATCAGTTACCTGGAGAGTGGGAGACGGGAGCGGAGTGATCTAGGATGAGGCAGATGCAAAGGTCCTGGGGTGAGAAGGACAGGCTGGAGGACCCATGAAGGGCCCTGGCACAGGGTGAGGAAGGACCATGGGGAAGTGGAGGAGGCAGCAGCCATGCCTCTGCCTCAGCCAGTGGGTGAGTGCCCTGCGTAGTATTGAAGGTTATCAGCAAGTCATCCACACTACTCTTAGGTGCCTGGCTGAGGAGCTGTGGGTAGAGCTGCTGTTCCCATCCTGTGAAGTGGAGGAGGGCAGAGAGCGAGAGAGGCTGGTGGGCGGTGAGGTGAGGTGTGTGCAGAGAAGGGGAGGCAGGCAGCTGATGTTCCAGTAAAGAGAAGGGGAGAACCTGGCTGGTGATGCTGCGTGGGGATAGCAATGGACAGCAGCATGTGCTGGGGGCAGAGGGCAGAGAAGGGGTCAGAGGAGGGAGAATCCAGTGCTCCTCTGGTGGAGATGGAAGCCTGGGAGGCCCCTGGAGAAGGCACCTTGGGCCCTGGTGGGGACAGGATGAGGTGGCTGTGGCAGCTTCGTGGCTCTGCTCATTTTCCACTTTGCCCACTGTTGGCTCTTCCGTGGCCATGGCCGCCAAGGCCTGGACCCTGGCCATTGCTACTGTCCTGACTCCTGGGTTGGCCTGAGCAGATAGGGGGAGACCCAGAGCTATGCAGAAGGGGCCACCTGCAGCCACAACCCGAGGCCCCGGCCCCGTCCCTGCCCAAGGCTGCCCGGCACCTTTCCTGTCCCTGGCCCCTGTGCTGTCCTCCCAGCTGGAGTGGCGCCATCCACAGGTTGGTTCCATTGGATCTGTTGTGTTTATTTCTCAGCCTTCCACTTCCTAAACCTGCACATCCCCTCCAGTGATGGAGCCCTTCTCTGCCAGGGGCTTTTCTGAGAAATTACAAATGACACCAGGAAAAGGAAGCGCAGGTTTATTTTTAAACCCCAGGCTCTCAGAGACAGCCAGTCCATCCATCCATCATCCCCTCGCCCACGCAGGAGCTCGCTGCCGTGTGTCACATGCTAGCACTCTTGCTGGGTGCACGGAGCAGACGGCCTGGGTCAGATGTTATCTCCGCTGAGCCCTAGTGTGGTTGGTGGGGGCAAGGGCTAAGGCAGAAACAAGCTATTACCACACAGTGTGACCAACCAGTCATTTGGCTCTCATGCAACAGATGTGTGTCTTGCCACGCACCAGAACTTGTCCTAGCTTTGGGAGGCCACAGCTGGGCACAGTGCAAATAAAATCACTGCCCTTTGGAGCCCACAGTGTGTTGGGAGATGGATGATCCACCGAAAGCACCTGTATAACCTACTGTCAAACCATGGTATGTGCCATGAAGGAAAGAAAGTGGGAAGGGGTAGAGAGGGATGAAGATCTGGGGACCTCACTGAGGAATGAAGTGAGGAAGTCAGAGGCTTCCAGGAGAGGACATGGCATGTACAAAGGGCCTGAGGCAGATTGTGTCCAGCATGCTTGAACAACAGTAGTGGCTGGGAAATTCATGGTCTGCATGACAGTGGAGATGCAGGGAAGATATCTGGGGACATAGAGAATGCACTTCTCTGTGAGTGCAGAATGTTCAGGTAGGACTTATACGGTAGGAGTTGGCTGCCTAAGTAAAGCATCACAAAAGAAGGATCAGCACAGGTCACAGAGGAGCAGGAGGGAGATCCTGGGGTGTTTTGCGGTAGGAAGTGGAAGGAGAATTGAGGCTGAGTCTACAGAATAAGGAAGGCAGCAATTGTCCAGAACAAGGAGCCTGGTCCAACTGAGAGAAAAGAGTGGCTGGATCTCAAATACAGCAGGTCCTTTGTTACCTCAGGGCCTTTGCACTTGCTGTTCCCTCTTCTTAGGCTGTTCTTGCCAATAGCCTCACAATTCATTCCGTTTTAGGCTGCTGCTCAGGATCTCCTGGGAAGCTCTCCATCCTGGAGCTCCTCCCCCGATGAGTGCCCTTCCTGAAGCCCACCCTTGCTGCTGTCTATCCTGACATGTATACTTCCCCTGTTTATCTCTGTCTCTGTGCACTAGAATGTGAGCACGGGGTGGGGGTGTGGAGATGGCATCTATCACATTTGTCACTGCTGCACCGCTGAGGTGTACATCCGTCATCATGACACAGTAGTTATTTTTGGATGACGGAAGGATGGGCCTTAGCGTCATGGCAAGCAGTCGGGCACTGACCCTCAGGGGAGGGGAGGGCCAGGGTCTGACTTAGAAATATTGGGCCAGGGATTTAGCTCAGTGGTTCCGCTGCCTGCCTTGAAAGCACAAGGATCTGAGTTTGATCCTCGGTACCAAAAAAAATAAAAAAAAATTTAAAAAATCTGCCCAGCCTGAAGGAGGCCCGAGACTGGAGGCCAGCGAGATAGCTGTGCTGCCCCTTGGTGAGACCCAGTGATCCTGAGCAGGGCCGGGGCAGTGGACAAGCAGAAAGGGGTGGACTGTGGGGACTGTGGACTGTGCAGGGGGCTGGCTTGGCTGGACTGCATGGAGCTGGGTGTGGGGATAGGTCTGGGTGGCTGAATGGGGGCTGGGAGGGAGGGCAGGGCCAGCTAGAGGGGAACAGAGGAGTTCGGGTTTGGACAGGCTGCACTGGAGGGACCTGGGACCTCGGGGTCCCAGAGAAGGCCATGTGCTGTGGAACAGGAAGTGCACCGCACGTGACAGAGTGGTGCCACACTTGAGGTAGGACTGAGGAATGGTGGACCATGGGCGTCTCTGCAGGGGACGCAAAAGCAGAGCTGTGACTGGTGTGGTGGGTAGACACCGACCTAGGGTCTGTTAGGTCTGTCCAGAGCTGCCAGAGTGGCCTTCCAAATCATCCAAAGGGAGAAACTCCCAAAGCCTGTGCTGTGGAGGGATCCTGGGGAGCGGGCCACAAGCAGACCATGGGGACCAGGCCCTCAGGAGGATCTGGGGGCGGCACATGCTGCCAGGAAAGCAGCACTGGTCTGTTGCTGGATTGTGACCATGCCCCTGCTGCTACTGTGAGGTCTCTCAGACCAGGAGGTTCTTCCAGAGGGGTCTCCAACCCCAAGTAGCAGAGACCACCCTCCCAGACTATAGCCCATCCTCCCCTGCCCTTTGCCCTGCCAAACTCGAGCCCAGTCTCTCCCTTTAGGACTCTGCGGACCCCATTTTATTTGTGGCTCTCAGAGACCCTCTGGTCCGACACAAAGGTGTCCCTGTCAGCAGCTCTCATTTGCATCCTCTGCCACCGCTCTTCCAAGAAGTGCCCAGGCACAAGGACCAGGATGCAGAGACGGGGTGGGGGCCATGGCCAGGCCAAGGCTGTGAGCACAGAACACGGGCTCCTGTCCCCAAGGGTTGTGCTCTCACCTCTTCCCTTCCTGTGAATGTTGGGAGAATTTCGGGTCCTCTCTGTGCTGGGCTTCTCTTCCGTGGGTACTGCCCAGCACAGGCCTGGGACACTGTGGGAGCCACAGCCATGGTAGCCACCACTAGGACAGCATAGATGATTGGCCTGATTGCTGCAGGGCCTGGGCTGTGGCCTCAGTGGATTTCCTCCTGCAGATAACCAAGGGCAGAGAGTGGCAGGCCTGAGGACAGATGTGCATTTATCTCAGCCGTCTCTAAGCCAGCTTCCTGGCTGTTCCAGGTGCCGAGGCTTGTGTGTTTCGGGGCAGGGGGCATCTAGGCCTCAGACATAGCCCAACACCCCACTAGGTGCTGAATGCTGCACTGGTCTGCCTTCCTCAGCATCCTGGGAAGACACAGATGGCGTCCCTGGTCCCATTCACAGATGGAAACGGCCCTGTTCCAGGTTACCCAGGAGGAGCAGAGCCAGGGACAGAGGCCCTGACCACTGAGTGAGGTGCTGGGCTGACCCAGAGCCTGTCTCTGCCCCTCCAACACTGTACATGTTTCAGGGCCACCTACTGCCCACCAAAGCCTCACACATACCCTGGGAGGTTGGCCCCCTCCACCCCACTTTACAAAGGAGGAAACTGAGGCTGGAGGTAGGAAGAGGCTTGTGCAGAGTGCAAGCCTGGGACCAGGATTCCAACCCAGGCCACTGCCTCTAAAGCCTGACCCCATGAGACCTTCTTAGGGGCCACTGCCCCTTGGAGAGGTCAAGAGGACAAACTGGGGGGCCACTGAGCCAGGTCAGTCTCTGAAATGAAATGGGTGAGCAGGGAGGAGCCAGGCCTCTGCCAGCTACCATATCCAGTGCCAGGACACCCACTGGGAGGACCCTTCTCTCGGGAGAGGAGCACAGGTGACCACAGTAACCCCAGTTGTGCGGTGCAGACCTGGTCTTAGAGCAGCGTCCTCCCCCACTGTTGCCAGGGTCCCATGGGACCTGTGAACTGGGCCATATTGGGGCACCAGATGGGTTAAGGCACAGAGGCAGCAGGGTATGGAACCAGGCCACTCCCTGGTGCTCTGCTGCTTGGATTACCAGATGAGCCAGGCTGGGCGGCCACCTGGGGCAGGCAGGGTGGGTGGTGGACATTTGCCTGCTCCTGGCCTCAGTCTGAGGAGGAAGCTATCCCCAGGCTGGGGAGCCACCAAGGCAGGAAGCACCATGCCCATCCTGTTCTGGGAACAATCCCTCCATCCAGGCCTGGGGTGGTTGTCTAGATGTGTCCAGCATTTGTACAGGCAGGCCAGGGCATGAGAAACAGAGGAGGTCACGAGCTAGCAGTGAAATACTGAAAGTCACCATTCAAACCTGCTAAGTGCCACATGCTCTGTTCTCCTACCCGGATGGACACATTTTCAGAATGACCTGGAAAGCATCTGTGACTCTCAAGTTCTCAGACCATTTAGCATTCTGCTTTACGCTGCTCATGTTGAGCAACCTGGCCCTGGCCCTTGACCCTCAACCCCTGACCCCTGACCCCTGACCCAGCCTGGGAGAGCCCTCCCTGCTCTCCCTCTTTTGGCTTAGCCCCACCCCACAGCTGCACATGGTGGATAGATGACACCGCAGCCTGCAGGTCTGAGCTCTGTCCTCTACACCTCCCCACACACAGCTGAGTGCCTAGGGTGGAGAAGGCACAGAAAGAGATCCATGTGGGCCCCAGAAGTGGTCTCAGGGTAATCAGGAAGGGGATTCTGGTTGGCACCTGGAGTTGGAGCAGGGGTCCCGAAGCTGGGGCTCAGTGGGGCGCAGTGCTCAGGACTGGGGGGAACAGGTTGGGTGGATTGCAGAGGCAGGAGGAGGCTGTGAGACTGCTGGACCAGGGTGACTAGGGTCTGAGGCAGACAAGAAGGGCTCCAGGGGCTTTCAGGAGTTAGGATTGACAGATAAGCAGCTGCCAGGCAATGCCAAGAAGGAGGTGAGCAGGCTGATGGGACAATGCCGATTGCATTGTGAACCTACCAGGGGAAGGAGGCCATGGCCACCAGAGGACACAGTGGCTGCCGGAGCCCCACATGGAAAGGTCCAGAAGGCAGACACAGCCTGTCCCAGTCAGTACCATGTGTCCTACACTCACAGTCCCTTGGCATGGGTCCTAATTCAGGAAGAGGGCTGCCTGGAGGCGGGGCTCTGAGGTGGCAGGACGCAGATGCTGGACAGGACAGAGGGTATGGATGAGCTCTGCAGGGACGGGAGGGTATGGGGCTAACTGGGCACCACCTGGGCAGCTTGGGCTGCCATCACCAACCACAGACCAGAGAGCAGGAGCAAGGTTGACTTTTCAGAGTCCTGGAGGCTAGAAATCTGCGGAGTGGGGGGGCGGGCAGCAGGTACCTGGTGTCTGGCAAGTGCTGTTCATTAATGGCAGCACCTTCTGCAGGGGCTCTGCCTCTGAGGGACAGATCTCCCTGGTTTCTTTATAAGGCACTAATCCCTTCACAGGGTGGAGCCCTCATGATGTAATAATATTCTGAAATGCCCCACCTCTTAATACCACCACTGTGAGGATTGAAGTGTAGAGGGGACACAAACATGCAAACCACAGCAGTCCCATTGCAAGTGCCGTCACAGTGCGGGTAGGGGTTCAGCAAATGGATGGTGGGGCACAACTCAGGCCACATCAACCACGGTGTGCATGGAACAAGGAGAGAAAGCAGAGGTGAGGAGGTGGATCAGAGAGGTGGGAAGAGCTTTGGGAGCAGGTGGCAGCATCCCAGAAGGACACCAGAATTGGGATTGCCATGAGGACAGGGGTGGGACTTTCTGCCCCAAGAGTACAAAGCAATCAGATGGTGCTCATTGCCCTCCTAGTCATCTAAGCCAGTGTACCCTAAGCCTTGAGCAGCAGGGCATGGATTCCCATGGAGTCAAATGTAGCATGGAAGTGCTACTTTGGACCTTGGCCTACAAAGTGGGCTAAGATTCCAACATGTGGACATTGGAGATGGGTGGTGAGTGAGATGGAAATGCAGGCTCTGGGACTGGGACCCTGAGGGTCTGGTGTACTGGGGGCAAAGCATGCGGTAGGCAAGGCTGCATTTGTGCAGAGGGGACAAGAGAAGCCATCAGGCTGGTGGGAATAAAGAAGAGGGAAGAGGGAAGGAATTGCTCAGGATGCACCAGACGGCCCCGGGCTAAGACAGGCACTGCTGGGGAGGAGGGAAATTGAGCCTTCTCAGAATCACACGGCCTTTGATTCCTAAGGAGCCTCAGATGAGAAGAATGAAATCAAAGTATTGGAAAGCTTCAGAATCGTATGAAGTCTTACAATCTTACGATAATTGAATCATAGCATCTGAGACCAAGGTTTCTAAAATCACAGAAATTTTGAATCTCAAATTGGTTGAGTGTCAGAATCTTGGCCCCCCTCCTCCTGGTTATGATAATACGTACTCTGTGCTCAGCGCTTTGCCCACATTATGTCCTTTTGTCTCCATGACAACCTTGGGAAGTAGGACCTATCATTTCACCTGATTTTCCAGATGAAGAAACCGAGGCTCAAGTGTTTGCAGACAGTCAGAGCCCTGGCAGGCAGTGTGGCCAGGACTCCACCCAGATCTCACAGCCTCCAAAGCCCACACCTTCAGCCTTGCTGCTGCTCCGCCTCCTGCAAGGCCTCCATGCTGTGTGCTTAGCCATTGCCTTAGTCATTTTCTTATTGTGGGGACAAAGAAACCAATACCCACCTTTTAAAGGGGGAGAGGTTTGTCTGGCGCAGTTGTTGGAGGACTCAGCTGGTGGGAAGGTCTTATCATGGTGGTCGGGAAGCAGAGAAAGGGGAGTCGGGGAAGGAGACAGATTCTTCCAGCCCTCCCACCCTTGCCCCACAGTGACCTGCATCCTGATAGCAAGTCAGCTATTGAGCTCATCAGTGGACTCTTCCACTGATGAGTATAGTGTCCCATCATCCAATCACTTTGCACACATATGAGAATATTGGAGGGCAATTTAGATCTAAACCCTAACATCCATGCTCTGTGCATTCTTCCAGTGACAGGGAACTCATTACCTCTCCCGGGTAACGGACATCCCAACTTTGCACACATCTGTCCTTCTCCGGGGAGCCACCCTTTGGTCCCAAATCTGCCTTGGAAGACCCCACAGAAGGCAAGCCTTCACCCAGGCAGGACCCCTGTAGGTGGAGGAAGCGGCCACTGAGGCGGGACAGTGCCTGCACTGGAGAGGAGCAAGGGGTCAGGAAGCCCCAGCTGCAGCTGGTCCTGGTGAGGGAGCGGGGAATCACCTAGAGACACCATGACACGTGGTAACAGAGCCCAGGATGTTGGAAAGACAGGGTGGAGGGAGGTGGGGAGACAGGAAACAAGCAACACAGAAATACAGTTCTCCACAGGTCAGAGTTATGGGGCCTAATGAGATTGGAATCGTAAGTGCTGTGCCTTTATTTCCTGCTATTTTCTCTGAAAACTTATTCTGCAGAATGTGCCCGGTGCCATCCATCCTCCCAGATGGCTTTTTAAGTGAAGCTGTTTGTTAAGTGGGAGAAGAAAAAGGAGATTGATCAGGAAGGGTGACCAGGCAGAGCTGCCGCACACCCTGGGGGAGAAGACACAGCAGGAACAGCAAGGGGTACGGGGTGCAGAGGGGCCCCAGGTGTGCCCCCAAAGACACAGAGCATGGCCTCCCAGGACTGGACCCTCAGGCATAGTAGAATCCAGTGACTAGGGTCCCCAGGAAAGTTACAGAGGCTCACTGGACCACCCCCCACCCCGTGTGCCTAGCACCGGGTACGCACTTTGAAGTCATTGGCCCCAAACATCCACATCCCTCTTCGGAGCGGACACATTCTGTCCCTGTGCCATGGAGCTCAGTAGTGGGCAGACAGGAGGAGGTGACCACCAGGTCATGGAGCTCCACAGAGCTGAGGGCTGTGCTGGCTGCAGAGACCTACTGGGCAAGGAGCAGAGGGAAAAAAGGGGAAGTACCCAGCTGAGGGAGGGAACTGCAGTCTTGCCAAGGTGGGGACAGCTGGGGTGGGACTGGTCTAAGCATAGGGAGATCTCTGGGCTTCTGAGCTCTGAGGGGCAGTCTCCGTGTACAGTTACGTAGCATCTGCCCAGGAAGAATGGATCATCTTAGGTCGGCTCCCCTGGCTGAGTGCTGCGGCCCCTTTCTGTCTCGCAAATCCTGGAGTTCTTTGCTGTCTTGGGACTGTTCTTCCCACACACTGAGGCGGTGCAGCCCGTGCCCTGAGATGCCCCGCCCACAAGAGGCTGGCCTCCCGTTGGTCTGTGTGCTTCCTGCCCCTGACCTGTGACCGCAGGCCTTCTCTTTCCTTTTCCAGTCCCCCTTGTGGCCTGAAGTACCCCTGCAACATCCCTTCCTTTGGCCAGGGATGTTTTCCCAAGAGCCCTAGGAACCGGCTTGTATGTGATCTTGTGTCTGAGAGCCCTGTGGTGGTGGCCCCTCCCCAGTAACGAGGGCTCAGTATCCAGTGATGGGGCATCCTCACTCAGCCTCCCACAGCCTGAACACCTGGGATGGTGGACAGGGACATTGCACCTGGCCAAGGAAGCCCAGCAAAAGGAAGATTGCCCCAAAGGAGCCCTCAGGACTTGGGCTGGACTCCTGAGGAGCGGATATCTGGTTCTGTGAGGCTGCTGGTCCCTCAGCAGGTGGCCCTCGCCAGTCAGTTCCTGTGGTCCCTACATAGTGAGGTTCTCTGAACCAGGATGAAGGAACTGGAGGGAAGTCAGAGCAGAGGAGCAGGTATGTGGGGCAGGAGCCTCTGACTCCCCACCTGGAGCTGCCCATTTCAGCCTGCTCCTCCATCCTAGCTTCCGGGCTCCGAGACAGACACCTGGGATGTGACTAGGTGATGCTGTCAGCGGGGGTCGATGCCACCCAAAGGGCTCTGGGGGAGATAGGGCCCAAACAGGCTGCTGGTGGGTGGCAAAGGCAACTTCAGGAGAGCGAGTGGGTGATAAAGGGCCCGAGCCTGAGGAACGTTGCTGTCCGCGATGCCCTGGTCACCCATGCAGGGGCTTGTCTTGAGGACGTGGTCAGGGACCCAAGTAGATAATTCCCCACATGTTCATCACAGCCGATGTGTGTGAGAAAAACCCCAGAATCCTCTGCAAATCTGACAGTCGAGGACAGTATGGTAAATTATGGCGCAGCTAAATGAGGTACAATTATGAAGCTATTAACATCATGCTTTTGAGGAATTTTCAATGATGTGGGAAAATGCTGATGATATAAAAAGAGAATTGAATATAGATATGGTCCCAATTACATAATATTTCCACATGCACAGAAAGAAAGATCAGATGATGACGATGACAATGGCGGTGATGGCAATGATGACAGTGGTGGGGGTACTGATGACGGGGGTGATGAATCTGCTATTTCACGAGCACTCACTGTATGCCTAGATCACCACCATTTGCTCAATTGACTTTGTAATGCTCTAGAAGTTGAATGGGACTAGAGAGGGCCAGGCACACACTTGGGCCGACACACCCCAGTGGCCCCTGAGCACTAGTCAGAGCTGCTCTGGGCACGCGTGGGAGATGCACAAGCTCATCCTGGAGCCCATCTCCCCTCCTGGGACAACCCAGGGACCCCACTTGGCTGTTTTGCTCCTGCAGAGCCCCTGAGTTTATCCAGGTGCCCTCCTATAGCAATGGGACAGGGACAGACAGCTGATGGCCGCCTCGTAACTGACTCTGGGCCCATTAGTACTGCCTGCACATCCATCACCTTCAGAGAAAAGCAAACACGGGGCGGGATCCGGAAACCATCACTCAAGGGCTTCTGCAGCTCGAGGCGGCAGCTCCTTCCCTGATTTGCTGTTGAATTATTGAATTATTTTCCGTAAAACTGATTTCTGCCAGACATCCCCACCTGCCCCTGTCACCACCATTCCTACCGCAGGACCTGCATTTCCTGTACCAGACCTGTCCTCGCAGAGAACTCAGCAGCGGGCTGGCAGGCAGGCAGGCAGGCTCTCCATCCTGGCCAGCATGCTTATTCATACACCTGAAGGGGAATTGCATGGCACACCTGGGTGCCACCCTCCCACCCAGAACCTGCGAATATCTCCTTGGCTGAGGCTGTTTGTGTGCCAGAATCAAGATGTTCTCGGAAGCAAGGTGCAGCAGCCAGAGCAGAGGAGTGAGGCTTCCGGGAAGGAGGATGTGTATTCCTCACCCCACCTGCCCCTCCTTGCCCAGTCTCTCTGCCCACACCTCCCTCCCTGGATGCTTGCTCCCAGGCCATGCTGGTGCCAACTGCCCGGTTTGTTCCCAGCAGAGTCTCTGGTGCACCAGCCCTCTTCCCAGAGCTGCCAGAACACCCCACAGACTCTAGGGCAAGGCAGGTGCCTCTGGGTGCTCTATTTACCTCAGCAAAGCCTATGTCCTCCCCATGCTCCACAGCTC